TCTCAACCGGCATCTCTAATATGTCCCTGCCTCTGCAGCAAAAGTTTTCCTACCCAGTGTGCATCAGTGGACCTGTCTACTTATGTGAGGGCATCTTCATATGTCCTCATTTCACTTGGAATTGGCTGCATGCATCTAAATCACTTTGCTCCAAGATTCTGATGTAAAGAAGGACGCAGATTTGGAGTCTAGGCTGGTCTTTTTCTAAAGAGTGACATATGAGCCTGCAGTCTTGTGGGTCCCAAAACTCAGCGATTGTCTGCAAACTTAGCAATAATGTGGTTGGCTTTATCAGTAGATGTTAGAATTACAGGGTTAACAACCAGTGGAGAACATTGCAGCCACTCCTCCCTGTGACAAGGCTGTTTTCATAAAGCACTTAACACTAACTTCCACCTAGAAGTGGTAGCCTCCTCTTGGTCTGGCTCCATCAGAGCAGTGGTTCTACTTTATCATGAGCAATGTAACATATTTTATCATAGAAACTAGACAATTCTTATCATCAGACTAAGCTTTAATGAGTTAATACATGTCAAGGATGTTTCATTTCATTTATCATCACATTTAATTCTGTGGTCCTCCTATATGATAGGTAGATCTAGTCTCCTTTTGCAAATGAAAAAATAATACTGTTAGGTAGGGAGAACCGGGCTGAACTCAAGTTACACCATGGCGCCTCTGCTCTTTTCCACATCTACTCAGAGGCAAATGTCTCTGCTGATGATTTTCTCTCTAATTCAACTTCTTAATAACAAATAGTACAATAAATATTACAGAACAGCTAGATAATGCCTCCAAAAGTCTTTAGGAATTTCCAAATATGAGAATGCCAACATTATGAACAAGTTGATAACCTTAAGCTGAAACAGAATTTGTTTGAAAATTCTGCCTTTTATCTCCCTTTACCCTAGAAGGTGGCTTCTTTATCAACTTCCACTGAAGTGGTCTCTTCTTCTTTTCTCAAACGGGATGACATTTTTCCTTAAATTAAAATGTTTTATATGTTTAAAGCCCATTTATGAGAAGTAATGCTTTTATGATGAGTCCAGCAGAAGAAGGCTACGCTTGGGGGAGGAGCATTCACGTGGGTTGGAATCTCCTTCACCCTCACTCCCAGCAGGCCCATTAGTCACACTCACATCTGTGAAGCCAGGACTAGACCTGCAGAAGTGCATGCTAGAAGCCATGGTGGGGAACACAAACCTGTCACACCTACATTGCACAACACGCAGCAGGACTCTTCCCAAATTTATCTATTTCCAGCACACTAAGGAATCATTTTTATTAGTTCCTTTTAGTTACTAATATTCAGGTGCCTACTACAGTACTTTATATCAATGCATTCCTCACTATGTAAGTGTGACAGTAAATCAGAATTTGATAAAGTCATTTAAAATAAGAGACAACATGACTTGTGACTTTATATATCAAAAGTTTAGGAGGATATTGATGTTGCTGTTTAAGTAGTAAATTACTCAGCCGGGCTTGGTGGCTCAGCCTGTAATCCCGTGCCTTTGGGAGGCTGAGGTGAGTGGATTGCCTGAGCCCGCAGGTTCGAGACCCGCCTGGGCAGCGAGACCTCATCTCTACAATAAATCAAAAAAAAAATCAGCTGGGCGTGGTAGCGCATGCCTGTAATTCCGGCTACTCGGAAGGCTGAGGCGGAAGGATCTCCGGAGCCCAGCAGGTCGAGGCTGCGGTGGCCGGGAGCGGCCACTGCACTCCGGTCTGGGCGACAGAGTGAGACTCCAACTCAAAAAAAAAATAAAAATAAAAATAAACAAATAAATTACTCCATTAAGACACTTCGAGCAAAGACTTAAAGATACTGTAACTGATGTTTATGCTTAGTGTATAATTCACAGTTGCAAAAATAAAACTAATTGACATTTTAAATTCTTAAGGTAATTCTGAAATGAGCTGCAGATTTTATTATTATTTTGATTGGCAGATAGGATGTATAAGGTAAAGAAATGGGTCCTGGGCTTTAAAAGCATGTCCATGTCCATTTATAAAACATGTTCTAATGCATCTCCAATGGTCTGGCTTATGTGATTTCTAGCTCATCCTCACTTAGAAGTGGACGGGACACTCACCTAGGGAGAGCTAGCTGCAGAGACCAGTCTCCCTGGACTTTCTGCCTTATTCCAGGCTTTCCTCCCTCCCTCCTTCCCTCCCTTCCTCTCTCCCTCCCTCTCACCCTCCCTCCCTCCCTCCACTCCTTCCTTCCTTCATCTTTGGAACACATAGCATTTCTTCTGTTTGAAAAGCCTTTCTTTTGGGGTCTTTTTCTGGCCTGCACCTTCTCATTACTTAAATCTTAATTTAAATGTCATTTCGTCAAGGAAGCATTGTTGACCACCTCTACTTGCCTTTACCCGGTATTTTTATTTTCTTTACTTCAATCCTGACTCAAAGTCTCACTCTATCACCTGAGCTCGAGTGCAATGGAATGCTCACGGCCACCACAACCTAGATCTGCTGGGCTCAGGAGATCCTTCTGCCACAGTCTTCCAAGTAGCTGGAACTACGGGCACAAGCCACCACGCCTGGCTAATGTTTTGATGTATTGTAGAGATGACATCTCACGTAGTTAGACTGGCCTTGGACCCCTGGGCTCAGGCATTCATCTCACCTTAGTCTACTAAGTTGCTAGGATTATAGGCGTGGGCCACGGTGCCCCTCTGGCGTCTTTCTATCTTTGGAACACATAGCATTTCCTCTGCATGAAAAGTCTTCCTTTGGGGGCCTTTGCCTGGCCTGTACGTTCTCATTTTACTTAAATGTCACTTCTTCAAGGAAGCGTTGTTGACCACCTCTACTTAACTTTACCTTGTTTTTTATTCCTTTACTTCAATCCTTGTTTATTTTTAAATAATAGTTTATACAACTTACAATTATTTTGCACAATTATCTATTTATTAGTTTATTTGGTCTGTTTTCCTGAATTTGTGAGAACAAATTCCATTTATATCTAGTATCCACTTTTAGCTAGCATTTATAATAGAGTAGATACTCAATAATTTTTACTTCGCTCAATAAATGATTAAAAACCATTGCCCTGTCCATGTCTACTCCCCCCATCCACACAGAACAATTGTGTTGGTATCATTGATAAATGAAACAAACAAACAAACAAACAAAAAACCCAGAACATCTTTTTCAACTATTAGAGAGAGTAGCCTGCAGCTATTGTGTTTAGAAGCGTGAAAGGTAACTTTGAATTTCCCATTTCTATCCCTTTCATAGAGGTTGATTCTATGAGTAGAAAAGGGCTAGTGACTTCAACTCTAGTTTCATTATATCTCTAAAGAGAACTTGATTGTAGTTCGTGAAGTATTCAACAAACTACATAACAAAGTTAAGGAAGTGCATTGTATTACACTTTATTCAAATGCATGTGTGAAAATGTATGTACGTGTCTGTTCAATGCTGTTTTGTATGAAAGTTCACCAGGAATACATATTAACCACGACCGTGTTAATGTTATATACTGATCATTGATGCTTGTATAATATTTCCAAGGTGCTTCTAATACATGAATAAAATCCTCTAATGCAGATTAGACTATATTGAATATAATTGAATCAATTTTCTTCTCCCCTGGAAGCTAGGAATTCGTTTGTATATTTTTTTCTTAAAGTTGTTATCAGTGTTTGTATTTGGTATATTAGAGGATTCACTTCTCCATCACAGTTTACTATATTTAAAACAAAATAGGAATGAGAACACACAGCTGATTTCATCTGAAAGAGCATAATAAACAAGGAGTGTGTTAATAGATGAAACACATGTGAAAGTCTCCATTCTTTTTGGTGAGCATGGGTATATGCAGTAATTTTGGGGCCAAACAACAATATTTTAAGAAAGGATACCATGCGCTATGTGGGGAGTTGGGATCTCTTTCATCTTTATGTCCATCAGATCCACTAGTCACACTAATTCCCATGAAGTCAGACCCAGACCTGCAGAGGCACTTGTAAGAAGCCAAGGCAGAGAACACAAAACCAGTCACACTTACATTGCACAACGCAAAGCAGAAATCTTCCCCAAATCCACCTATTTCCGGCACATGGGTCCTTATATTATTAGTCTGTTTTCGGTTAATTGTGAGGACAGTTACCAGTGACCTCTGTTTAAACCAATTTTGTGTTGCCTGGCACAGAGGGTTTTTCATTGGTTTTCAACAGAATTACATGACAGGGAGGCTGAGTGGTATCCCCATGAGCTGGTTCTCCACAATGTGGCTTTGTCCTTGATTTAGAAGTAAGTCTCCAGTCACCTTTATGTATATGAGTGACTCTGAAGATTAAAAGATGGCAGAGGGGGCTTCTGCTGCTTCAACATGTCCATGGCCTCTCCTACCAGGGTGTGAGACATCCCTATGGTGGCTTAATCAGCTTTAAGGTTACAGTATCAGGAGATGATATTTAATTTAAAGATTAGATACCTCTTACTAATCTATGGGTAAATTTTCAAATTGCACAAATTCCAAGCAATGCCTATTATCTATCATGTTTGCTAGAGGTCATTGTAGAAAACAGTTTATAATGAAACATAATAAGCTATATGTTATAAAAGAAAATACTAATTGTAATTGTTAGCTTAGTGGCTCTACAGTTCTTTTAAAATATAAAACTAAAGAAAATGGAATGGATTTCTTTCTTTATTTGTTTTAAACAATTAGTTAAGCAAAGCAACCACATATTTCCCAGTTAGAAGTACTCAGAATAGTAGAATATTTCTTGTCGAGAGTAAAATGAAATTATTAAGTCCATGTTTACCCAGTAATTGCTCATTTTGTTATATATCCACTACCACTACTAATAATGATTGTTTTACTCAGTTTGGATGGCAACTGACAACTTGGAAAATATATTTTTTGAACTTATATTAAAAATAATCTTAAAAAGCTATATGTGATCCCATCAATTCTTTAAGTCCCAGACTAATTCAACTTCATATATATGAGCTTAATTTTGTCTATTTGTGTGTTTCAGCCTATGAATTACAGAATTGTCCAGATCCACCCCCATTTCAGAATGGGTACATGATCAACTCAGATTATAGTGTGGGACAATCGATTTCTTTTGAATGTTACCCTGGGTACATTTTGATAGGCCACCCTGTCCTCACGTGTCAGCATGGGATCAACAGAAATTGGAACTATCCTTTTCCAAGATGTGATGGTAAGTTCATCATTTTTCCTGGGGGCAATTTAATTTTTTATGCATATGATAGTGCATTACGTATTAAATGAATATATCTAATACTTTGTTGATGTATTCAACAAATATTTACTGACAATCTACTATGTTTTACTCACTCTACTTAATCATTAGGGAATATGTTATGTAACAATAAATTTAAAAAATAAACAATCCTGACCAGACTCCGTGGCTCAGCCTATAATCTCAGCACTTTGGGAGGCTGAGGAGAGTGGATTGCCTGAGCACGTGGGTTCCAGAGCAGCTCGGGCAACTTGGAGACAGCTCATCTCTACAATAAATAAAAAAATTCGCCAGGTGTGAAGGCTGAGGTGGAAAGATTGCTGGAGCCCAGAAGGTTGACGCTGGGGTAGCCCTGAATGTGCCACAGCATTCCAACCTAAGCAATTGAGTGAGACTCCAACTTAAAAAAAAAAAAAAAAAGCAATCCTTGTTCTCAAGAAAATTATTAGGATAACAAAATGACAAACACAAATAATCATAATACAGGAAAAGACACGAGGGAAGTGTTATGATGAGTTGTTACATGAGTAAAAAAATGGTGTACACTTAGAAAACAGTCAGGGAAATCTTTCTGAAGGCAGCAGTGTTTAGCTTTATAGTGGTTATATCAAATTGTGGGACCAGAGGGGAAAAGGGTACTTATTAATTTTATCCTAAGCGTTTTTTTGTTCAACTTTTATGAGAATTATATGCTGCTTTTGTATTTCAGAAAATTGGGTTAATTTTTGCAGTAAGCTTTGCAGAGTACATAGTATTTTGCTACTCAGAGATGGAGAACACTCCAGGTAGAAGAAACAGGGTGAGAGAAGGTGTAACATACATGTAATTTAAGTTGTTTAATAGTATATGATGGACATTTCTTAGGAGATGTTGGAGATACGTTGTTGGGCAGTGGTGTGGGTGAAGATTTGGACTCGTGAGATGTCTCTTGTCTGAGCAGAAATCACTGCTTTAAAGTTTCCGTATGTCTGCTTGGTTTTTATGATGACTGTAGACTTTTTTTGTAATATGAAGTTAAAATAAATCTATCAGTACTTTGTTTATGAAGAATGTATAGGTAACAGAAAATTTACTGTAAAGCCAATATTCTAGCATGATAAATATCGTACCTATGTATGAAAAAATAATGAAATTACCAACTCTGTGTACCTTTGAAATGCTAAACATTTATATCTCATGGGGAAAAGGGAAAGACATCTAGCTGTGTTTGAATTTCTACTGAAGAAGTTAAAAAAAACACATCTGTAGACTTTTAAAATCATAGTATTCACCTGTATTTTTCCATTCTCTATCATTATAAAAACAACCATAAAAGTACTTTTAGCTATATTTTTAAAATGTCTTAACCTTTTTATACTATTTATTTAATAACATATAAAGCAGCATTCAAAAATTAATTTTATAAAACAAAGTATAGCAGTAACATATCTGGAGTATTTTTCATGAAAACTTTTTTTAAACCTTAAATCTACTCTCCATTTAAAAACTCATATCTATGTATAAATTACTTTGAAATTGTCAGGATGGAAACTTCTTCCTATTTGCAATTTTACCCTGAATCCTTTGAAATCATATGTAAATGGTAGACTCTTTGGCTTGATATTAAAAACTAGAATTAAATATTTAATTTGATTTTATTGCTTTTGCAAGCTTAGTTTTTCAATGTGGAAATAACTGCTGTGGCTTAGAATTACTTAATCAGTGTGAAAATAACAAAAATATATCTTTTGAGGTATAGTTTAGAGAGATGCCTTTGTTTATAATTCCAACAATGGAGACCTTTGGACTCCTCACATCTGTCTGAGGCTCATACTCCATTTGAAGAACTCAGAGTTCACTAAAAGCTATTATACTCATCCTTATAGTTTCTTCAGCTGGGAAGGGATATGTCAAAATCTACCCAGGGAAAGACGCATAGGGTAAGACTGCAGGAGAATATGCCTCTCTCAGAATCAATATATGACAGCACACACAGAGTATTGCCAGCATGGTAGCCTACCCTGAGCCTTGATGTCCACAGTTTTTATTAGAGCTCTGTTACATAGGCTTGACTAACCGACTGACTGGTTATCCATGTTGTTGATCTTAGCCTCCAGGCCAACTGGTGTGCCTCAAATGACTCAGCCTAAACCACATGATGGGTCTTTTTTTTGGCATAGCCAGCCCCCACCATAAAATTAATGGATGGGAACAGCTCCATATTTCACAAAGACACATCTATCAGGTGTTCCATAATTGCCTCACAGGAATGAGGGCAAAGGCCAGGCCTCTCTGGGGAAGGCCAAATGTTTTACTGAACGGTATATTTTTTCTATTGTATTTCTCTTCTTGCAAGTAATGCCATAAACAGAATTTAAAAATCCCAAATAACCAAGACTCAAGATTCATGTAAAATTATATCACAAATACTGAAAGCAATTAGAGGGACTATATAAAGGATTTTCCAAAAGCCACCCAGTATGTGCTTCACATTCTCTTAATATTAAAAAATATTAGAAAATAATAATATTAAAAAATAATAAGGCATTATTAAGCACATTCCATTAAAATAAAAAAATAAAAATATGATATATATATATATTAAAAGAATCCTCATTTCATAAAAATGATGGGGCCTTTCAAATGCCAATGATTATACAGTTAGGTGACAGTTAAGTTTTCCCCAGAGACAACAGTAAACTCTGTTGACAACCCACTACCCTCACCTAAAATGTATTTTATTAATTGGCAGTGGTTTATCATTCCAGATGCATAGGGCACGTATATTGAAAAACCATCTTCAAGGGCCCAGCCTTGTAAACTTAAAAAAAATTTAAGAAAAAAAAACATATGCACTTTGAACAATTTCTGGGTGTCTTTATTAAAAATTCGCAAGTTTAGACAATAAATAAAATAATAGAAAATTTTAAAGTATCAGTCTTCCCAAGAATCTATTAAATCAATTCATATTTATTTGCTGAACATATTTACATGTTAAGTTGCATGAGAATCTGTTCTGCAAAATTAGTATACTATGAACTCATCTGAAAAAAAAAGTCTGAAATATGACATAAATGAAAATATGCAAATAAAGTAATATGTCTCTGAAAGTGACCTGAGAAAACTAAGACTTTTTTTTAGTTACATAAGTACACAGAAGACTCAGTTAAGAAAACATGAGACTGGGCATGGTGGCTCACACCTGTAAACTCAGTACTTTGGGAGGCTGAGGAGGAGGAACGCTTGAGACCAGAAGTTTGAAGTCAGCCTGGGCAACAAAGTGAGATCCCATCACTAAAAACATATAGTAATAATAAGCCCGGTATGGCGGTACATGCATATAGTTCCAGCTACTCAGGATACTGAGGTGGGAGAATTCTGGGAGCTCAGGAGTTCCAGGATTGCACCACTATGCTTCAGCCTGTGCAACAGAATGAGTACCTGTCCTTTTTTTTTTTTAAAAAAAAGAGTAACTGTTAAAATATGATTAATCCCGGGCTCGGTGGCTCAGCCTGTAATTCCTTGGTTTGGGAGGCTGAGGTGAGTGGATTGCCTGGGCCCGCGGGTTCAAGACCTGCCTGGGCAACTTGGCGAGACCTCATCTCTACAATAAATCAAAAAGTTTCTGGGCATGGTAGCGTGCGCCTGTAGTTCCAGCTACTTGGAAGGCTGAGGCAGAAGGATCGCCGGAGCCCAGCAGATCGAGGCTGTGGTGGCTGGGAGCGGCCACTGCACTCCAGTCTGGGTGACAGAGTGACACTCCAACTCAAAAAAAAAATGATTAAGAAAAGTTTTGTTTACTCATTTACTAAAGGTAATTTTATAATGCATCTGAACTTATAAATATAGTTCACAAATTTTAAGTATTTTTTTACCTAATTAATATTTTATCACTGAAATATTTATGTAGTTATACTTTAAGGTCTTCCTTAAAAAAACTTAAACAATGTCAGACTATAACTCACTTTAAAATGCAGTAGTATGGATATGATGGGGAACTATATAGACAGAAGTAATTATTAGGGTAACTAATATGTTGCAATAAGTGTTTTATCAGCTTTTTAAAATTTGAAAGATTTTGCAAGCAGAAAACAATTGATTGCATAGTTTGCATGAGAAAACCCACCAGCCCAACTATATGTTATTATGTACACTTTAAAAAATTTACCAGAGTGATTGATAAATACAGAAAATAGTCTTTCTCAGTAGTTAAAATGAAAGATAACTGTAAAGAATGCAAATGTCTCTTTATTTTTCTTACCTGTATTAACCAATATTGTTTTTAAAATCTCCATTACCAAACAAACATTTCTAAACTAGAGTGCATTCTGTCTCTTTATCTGAAAAACATCATTTAAAAAAACTGTAAGAGGAAAAACAATGAAGAGAAATGAGATTGGCAATACCGATAGTGCTTCTAACATGTTAGGTGAGATTAAGCATCAGTACTTGAACATACTAATAGACAAGAGTTTAAAATTCATAAATATTTATGCCAAGTATATTTATTGTTTTTTCAAAGTAGTTGTTTTACTCACAGTTAAAGTTTAGGCAAAACTTTAACTCATAGTTAAAGTTTAGGCAAAAATCTTAATATAATCTTAAAGAAAACTATCTATAAATTATCTATAACTCCCTTAGCAAACATTTAGGATTTTAACATTTAATTGTTTTTATTCTTGATATACTACCTCTTAATATGGCCTATCCATCTCTATTCAGAGCAAATCACACTGTATGTGTTTTGATTTGTTTTTCTTTATTTCAATGACTTTAGGGTGTGCAAATAGTTTTTTGGTTATGTAGTTGCATTATACAGTGACCAAGAAATCTGGGTTTTTAGTGTACCTACCACCCCCACCTGTGCATATTGTACCTGATAGGTGATTTTTCATCCTTCTACCCTTCCCTCTCCTTCTGAATATCCAGTGTCTATTATACCATTCTTTATGTCTTTGTTTTTCCTTAGTTTAGTTTCCACTTTTAAGTGAGAAAATGCAGTGTTTGGTTTTCTGTTCCCGAGTTATTTCACTTAGGATGATGTTCTCCAATTCCATCCAGGTTGCTGCAAAAGAGACATTATTATTTTTTACAGCACACTGCATAGATTTAAGGAGAGAAAAAGATGGCACCATAAAGAGAGGTCCCCAGTCCAATTGTGCCCCTCCAGCTGGTGCCTCCAGCTCCCTGTACTGACATCTGCCATGCCACCAGCGGGTCTTCTAGTATCTTCTAGCTCTGGCTGCACACCTGAGCAAAAGTTAGTCACATACCTCTATCATTTTTGTGTGTGTGAACTCCCTAAAAGTCTGCCATATCACAGGGATGTAAATTTGAGAACCAAAGCCACAGTGATACTCTAGGCAGTGGTGGGAGTGGTTCTGGGAAGAAGTCCCATGGGTTAAGGGTGCCCGGACAGGTTTTTATTGGGTGTGAGCTTCAACTTAAACATCACTGTCATTGCTTTCAACATAGCTAGTTCTGGCTCCTGAATTTGATCAAAATATGTAGCTTGGTCATTTTTATGTAGTTATGTTTCTCTGGGAAGGTTGAAAACATTCTCTCCTTGACTGTGCTTTGCACAATCATCCCGTCTCCCAACCTGAGCACTTTATTCTTAGCATCCTTGCGTAGTCAGATACGTGACAAAGGGCATGTATCCATCTTACTTGGTGACACACTGGAGTGGGGGACAGTGACCTCTATCAGTTGACCTCTATTATCTCTAATGGCAGTGGGTACCATATGAGGCCTGGCGGTCAGTTGCTTGTCATCCTAGTCATGCAAGGACCGGAGTCTTCCAGGCAGACAGATGAGAGCTGGGAGATATCTGCTGTGTTCCACACCAAACTTGGACCTTGATCTTACTGCAGGCTCTGCTTTGAACCTGGCCTTCAGGGAAAGGAAAACAGGATGAGGCACTTCCTGCGGAGTCCAATCACACATCCATATCTCTGTGGAGCTCAGGGAGATGCCACCCGGATAAGAAATGCAAAAATGCCTTTGATCCACCACAGGGAGGATGAAGACTTCTCTGAAGCTAGATAAATAAAGATCAGGCCAGGGAAGATGGGAGAGGACATTTTGACTGGTTTTTTTTTTTTTTTTTTCTTAAGAGTCCTTGTTTTTCATCTCCAGACTACACAGCAGGAGAGCAAGAGGATTTTGCTTTGAGAAAATTTTGCATGTGCATAAATAGAATATTATCTTATTTGATGAGGAATGTCTGTTCTTTTCCTTCATGGCACCTGCATCAGTTAAATTTGATGCTTTTTTTTTTTTTTTTTTTTTGA